TTCTGGGCGGTGCCACAGCAACGGTGCGCTTGCAAAAATATTGCCGGGGGGAAACAGGTTTTGGTGTAACACGCCCACAAAAATATCACCTACAGGACGCGAACCATGGCAGAAAAATGGCTACATCCCCACAAGATCAAACACCGCAAAAGTTAGTAAAGGACGTGTTGAAAACGGTTGAAAACTGCTACACAACCGAAGGTGGTAGTGCGGGACTTCAGCGGGTGGCTCGTTCCGCCCAATGAGAGGCTGATCTCTGCAGCAAACTTCCGCCCACTCAGACTAGACGCTGACAGACTGTTAATGTAATTTCTTTAGGGATAAAATGACAACACAATATAAGCCGGTCTCACTCCAAAGTCATCGAAATCCAGTGCTTGGGCGGTGACTTGTGGCGTCAGACACTGACGAAAAAAGCTGTCCTTTAACGTCGGCATGATACGCGGCTGCTCACCAGTATAGTTTAACTACACTGATTTTCCTTGAGTTTTTAAGTTCATTTAGACTGTCTTTTATTTCCTCCGTTTTTATACACTAAAGTGTTTTTATCAGTTCTTTTAAAAGTTGCTGTTTTCACGTCTTTCTGTTTGAATTATTGACATGTAAAGCAGTTTGTAACTTGCTTTATAAATAAGGTCATTATTACATTCCAATTCCCACTTCCCAGAAAAACACCTGCCTAAAAAAAAAAGTACATTTTCATCCGTTTATCCGGGGCAGCAGGCCAAGCAAAGCACCCCAGACGTCTCTCTCCCCAGCAACGCTTTCCAGTTCCTCCTGGGGGACCCCAAGGCGTTCCCAGGCCAGGTGAGATATATAATCCCTCCAGCGTGTTCTGGGTCTGCCCCGGGGCCTCCTACCAGTGGGACATGCCCGGAACATCTCTAACAGGAGGCACCCAGGAGGATCCTGATCAGATGCCCAAACCACCTCAACTGAACCCATTCGGCGCGAAGGAGCAGCGGCTCTACTCTGAGCTTCTTCCAGATGTCCGAGCTCCTCACCCTATCTCTAAGGCTGAGCTTGTATCTGCAATCTCATTCTTTCAGTCACTGCCCAGAGCTCCTGACCATAGTTGAAGGTTGAGACACAGATGAACCAGTAACACTTTGGCCCCCTTGGCCTGTGCCCAGTAGGCCAGTTCAGTCATCCATGCATGGTCCTGACAATAAAATAACTTAATTTTTCTTCCTTTCTAAATAAAATAAACATCAACATTGATTTTAGGGATCAACAAAAAAATGGTACTTTGCTGATACTCTACGTATAACATAAACACTTGAGAACTCGTGCATGAGGCCACCAGAGAGAGTCTGAGACAGGAAACAGGTCAGTTTCCATGATGTCTTGGATAAACAGTGACACAAACCTGCAGCACACTGGCCTCCTGTACAGTATCTGAGCATGTCTGAGGCTTCTGGGTGTTTATTTATTTGCTTCCTGAACCAGCTGCTCTAAAGGCATCAGTCTTCAGTCAGAGCTGGACACATGAGCACCATCTGAGTGGCACATTTATAGAAACATACTGAAGAAATGAGCCATACCACAGTAAACAACTCAGCTGTAATTAAAGAGCACGCGCAGACTCGAGCTACAGGCTTTTGCTCCAAAACTGTCACGACAGATTTCTGGACTTTACCAGTGTTTTCTGATTTACACAGTTTCCTCTCCCTCAGCCTCAAACAGTGACGTGTGCAGCCTCATTATCAGATCAACAGCACACAGCGGCTGTTTGTGACTTCTGTGTGTGAAATAAAAAGTTGTCTCCATCATGAGCGCACGCGGACTCACCTTGTTGTCTGGTCTCCATCAGCGACAGCCAGGTGAGCTCCCCAAATGAACCTCCAGAGACACGACAGCACACGGCAACACGCGCAGCACCGACCGGCCGTTAGGTCAGTGTGTGTTTCCTACTCTGGTTTCCTTGGCTGTCACGCGCCGGACCAGCTCTCAGGCGGAGCTTGGAGCGCGAGCCAATCAATGGGCGCGCGCTTTGGTAATTTGCTTAATTCAGCCACCGGACATATTTAATTTTATTTATTAGGAATATATATTTAAGGAATACTGGTCACTCTGGTAAAATGAATCCCAAATATTTTATTGTTTATTTTGTTAAATTTTATAAATCCCATGATCCTGTTCGGTCAGTTTCATATTACACAAATCTAAATTTGCCTCATCATCCCCCTGTTCAAGAGGGTTTGTTTTTTTTTCAAATTTTATTTTAATAGTAAAATAGTAACTAAAAATATTTATAATAATAATAATTTGTTTATGTATACTACATAATTTTAAAATGCTGTTTTATATATATATTTTTTTATTATTATTTGTTTTTTTAATTCATTTCTGTCACTTTTTAACA